CAAGCAATTACATAGTTTCTTAATGTAAAATACAAGTAGTCGGGCCTGCACTGTGCTTTCTTCTGCTTTTGATGCCAAGTACAAGCAAGTAGGAGCAACCAGACGAGGGTCATATTCAGTCATACTTCTTCTGAAAACGAGATAATAGATAATGCTCAGAGGTGCAGGCTTTAGAAGATGTGTAATGACACAAGTACCATACACAGAGCACAATCATTTTCAAACTGACAACAGAACAAAATATGGAAGAATAACTTCCATATATAAGAACTGACAATACAAAAATGGAAAAGGTTCAAACTTTCTGACGAAATTTATCAGTTTGTGCATTAACAAAATATGATTTTTGACCCTCGAGAAAGGATACTAATGTTACCTGAAAAACATGGTTCTAGTGAAATTCAACTTTAATATATAATCAATCCATGAAACAACACCAAAAAATTCCTTCATTGACATAATGTTTGCTTAAAACAAATGCTAAGAAAATGCAATGGAATTTCAAGCAAAACTATAGATCCTAATACTGCAGTTTGTATTATGATTAGAGCACATTGATAACACACCTGACATAAACACGTCTCATGTAGGTAATGGCAGTAGCAACAACCCTGGAAATAATCAACATGAAGGGATCATCAAAAAGATTATGGAAGTGGAAAAAGAAATGTTTATTATACACAACACATCCCACTGGTTGGTGTCAGTACTTCAGAAATATCATTAATCACAAGTTAATTATAACAAATCTGGAAAAACTTAGCATGTATTTCCTGACATTGTATAAATAACATTTAATTTTAAAAAGAAACAGAAAAAAGAAAAAAGAAAAACTCACAGTTTATGACCATTTTGCATACACATGAACTCCAGGATGTCATGAATACATAACACTACAGATTTGAGAGAATTATTTGAAGCACACCATCCATCAGTAATAAATCGAAACCAGAACTCAAAATGTGCGCCTCTTTCACCTCAGATGAAGTGAAAGCACAAACAAATCATGATCTCAATTTCTCCGTCCTACTTATCTGATTTTTGTGAGATCTCCAAGTCTTTAATTATTTATGATGGCTTCCAAATGCAGGATGACAGTAGTAGAACAATGGAGGTCAATCATTAGACAAAACCTTGGATACCAAGAGTGAGAGTGGTGGCGTGATCAAGAGAAAGTGCAAGAATGAGAGCACAAGGTCACGCTCCGGCCATGACACAATCAAAATCATGCAAGAGCAGCCAAAACTTGCACTCAAGAATGCCAAGGCGAGGGGTCGTAGGTAGAGTGACAAGATAGCTGCATGCAGGGACCGAAGGCTAAGCATCGCAATAGTAGGCGAAGTGGCTTAAGGCGGGGGACAAAAGCAAAAGGTGTACCATGGGATCAAGTGGATCTCTATCATCAATTCAATGGAGGTAGGTATAAGTAGGCCAATGGGACCTCATTTGTAAATTACTAAGAGAGCTTAAGTTAAGTGACAGAAAGAGAATTGTAAACAACATTGCACTGACATGTTGCCAGAGCTAGCATGTGAGGTCCAACACTCACTGGACACGCTAAAACACATCGGTGCTTCAAACCTCAGCTTAAACAAAAGAAGGTACAATTAGAAAGTAGTCTCA